TGGTAAGATGGAGGGTCAGAGAAAAAGAGGAAGGCCCCCAACGAGATGGATTGGCCAAGTAGCCGCATCGATGGACTCAAGCATGGCAGCAGTAGTGAGGTTGGCCCAGGATCAGGCAGTGTTTTTTTCTGCTGTTCATAAGGTCACTATGAGTCGGTACCGACTCGATGGTGCCTAACAAGTATTAGAAGATATTTTCATTTGTGTTTGTGGTGATAATGGCATTGTGGTAATGTAATAAGGGTCTTTACCATTTAAAGATACATACCGAAGTACTTATGATGCAATAATACATTGTTTCAGGTTTGTTTCAAAATATTAGAAACCATCAGTGAGTGGCGCCGTAGGATAAGCACTAGGCCGGCAAGGTCAGTAGTTCAAAATCACCAGTTGATCCTCAGAAACTCTATTCAGGGTCGATATGAGTTGGCCCCAACTCAACAGCACTTAGCAACTATGTATTGATAAAATCAACTGTATTTGTCAACACATGTTGTTGTTGTTGTTGTTAAGTGCCGTTGAGTCATTTCCAACCCATAGCGACCCTGTGTAGGGTTTCCAAGGAGCAGCTGGTGAGGCTGAACCGCCGACCTTGCAGTTCAAACTGACTCTGCAATCTGGCGCATTAACCCACAGAGCAACAGCCAACCGTGTTTTACTCACACATTGTTTTCAGAGGGTCTTTTGCAGCATATTTGCCCAGTGCAGAATGTCGTCTGACTCTTCTTGACTGCTACTTCCATGGGCATTGATTGTGGATCCAAGTAAAATGAAATCCTTGACAACTTCAATTTTTCTCCATTTATCATGATGTTGTGTATTGATCCACTTATGAGGATTTTTTACCCCCTCTACATTGAGTTAAGGGGCTCTGGTAGCGTAGTGGTTACAAATTGGGCTGTGAACCATAAGGTCAGTAGTTCGAAACTACCAGCGGTTCCGCGGGAGAAAGATGAGGCGTTCTGCTCCCGTAAAGATTAACAGCCTCGGAAACCCTGTGCAGGGTCGCTATGAGTCGGAACCGACTCCACGGC